CGTTACTGCCCATCTCTGCTTGTGAGTCTATTATGTTTCAGTTCTTTGTACAGTTCTTCACATGATATACAGTACCTGAGCTTATGTTCTGCTCCCTCTGATTTTAGAGCACATAAATGAGAGAGCAGTATGCAACGCCATCGCTCCAGAGAAGGATGTGGATGGCTTCCATATTGTGAACATCGGTAAGCTGTGCCTGGACCAGAGATCCATGGTGCCAGCCACTCCTGCAGCTGTCTGGGAGATCATCAAAAGAGCAGGTATGCCTCCCAGTATTCTCCAAAGCATTTACTCAACTTAATATCTATAAACGTTTGTCATGGCTATTTTTAGCCTTGCCATTCACTCTGTTTTTTGAACCTACGATGGCATGATCCCTAAATTTGAACTGAATGTTCAGTTCCAAAGAATGTAAAGTTAACTCTAGAAGCAATAGCAGAAGTAGGTATTATATGTCCATTTCTATGCATCTCAGATCCACTAGGTGGCGCCCAATATCCTTTCTTCCATTAAAATCTAAATTTCATCTGTTCTTTGACTTTCATTAGTTTTAACATGAAATAAAACTATAATATTTCAGAGTTTTCTGAAAAAGTGTGAAAGTTATTTGAAGTAATGTGTGTAAAACTTTATATTTAACAGATGTTGTTATTAAAACATTATTTGAATAAAATAGTAGGACGTTAGTTCTTAAAATAAAACTATTCTTACTGTGATGTGAGAACAGTGTCTAGAGTGGCAAGAAACCCCTTGGTTAACATACAAAAGGAGTCGGGGATGGAGGTGCGGCTAAGCCTTGGCTAGGAATGCTTAAGGGTTTTATATCATCATGAAATCAGCTTATCGGCTGTGACAGAACTTTTGGAATCCTCCATCCCACATAGTGCTGAAGCAGATATCCCTTTATAGATTACATTGAGAGCTGAAGGATGAAGGGTTTGGTGTAATTCACTTGTCTGTCTGAATGACTGGAATGTTTCAAACACTAAGTTATGGAAATACACAATTCTGATGAACTTGAACACTATACACTATGTGTATATAATTATTTGAGCTTGGTTTTGGTTTCAAAGGTGAAAATGGTCTGAGAGAAGTGTGACTGAATTCTTTAAGCCTTGTAACAAACCTTTCTGCTGGCTCTATCGACCTGGCAAAGGCAATGCAAGCGAAAACAGATGCAAGTTTTTAATAATTACTGTATTCATAGAAGCTAAAATATTATCCAGTGCCCCAAATCACCGGTTTAAAAAGTAATGGCTCCTGTTAAATAGTTATCCATAGAGTCATAAAAAATAAGGTTTTCACAGGACTCTATGCTGTCATTAAATGTGGCATTATGCATTTGCCATTATTCCAGAAATCTTGTGGTTTGTTGACAAGTAAGAGGCTTTCTCCTGATAAACATTCCAGACAAGCTAGTTATGTTCAGTCTTTTGTTAACTGAAAGGTCATGAACTTTAACATTTAACACAGTAACTAAAGTCTGTAGAGCCTGAAATGCAGGTCTTGAGTTTTTACAGTTTCTCTGAGCACTGCATGGTCTGACTATGGGGTGAATTTACTGGGACATACTGTGAATAATGTGGTATTACACACCTCAATTCTGCTTTTATAGAGGTCATCACACTTGTTGATGAAGTGCATTTGATTAGGTACCTGTTTGCTATTCACCTTCTTAATTCCTATTAAACCAGTGGGGATGCATTTAGTTTATCACAGGACTGCATAGAGTCCTTCAGAAACAAGTCATACAATATCAGAGATGTAAAGCTTGAGTTTTTATATTCTTCTGAAAGGTTTTAGGGATTTCAAGATACATTATCGCAAAATTTGGAGAAGCCCTGAGGTTCCTCTGGAGTTAGTAGTGTTTTTACTTGCCAGCCTTCTGTGCACGTCATTTATGCCCAGTATCTGTTGGATTGTGGAGTTACCAAAAGAGATACTAGATGACACAAAGACCAAGAAAGGAAGGAAGGAAGGAAAAAATCCCATGAATCTTTTTCTTGTAACTTTTTTGACATCATAGGATGATTCATTGTTGTACTCTTTGGGATATTTTGAAACTCTGGAAGGATTTTAAACTTTATAGACTTATCTGGCTTAATATTCTTCTTCCTTATCACTTCTGAAATTTCTGGTTGTTACCACATATTGTGCTGCTGGTAATTCCTTTTAGGCAACTTCACACTTCTGAAAATTGTTTTTAAGCCATGATTTCAGGCCTGGGTGTGTCCAGTCCAGCTGCAGACGGTTATCAGCTTTTTTTTGACTACAAGGGCAAAAATCTTTTTTTCTCACATGTACTTTGTAATATTAAATACTCTTTCTCCTTCTATACTTAGATTTGTTATTTCAAACTATCACTACACAGCAAGCATGCTCAGGTTGACTTTTTAAAAATTGGACAGAATTTGGTAGAAAACAAGAAGGGTTTAGATCCGGTTTAGCAGCATAATTGGTATTTAATACAAATTTCATCAGCACATTGTGATATTGGCCTAATTGATGACACCTATGTTAACTTTTTAATAGTTTTTGCATGACAATTTAGCTTCAAGGAGAGTCAGTTTCTCTCTAGTTGAGCAGTACAGTGAATCTAGCATATTTTATCATTTCTCTGTGCAGGTATTGAGACTGTGGGGAAGAATGTCCTTGTCGCTGGTCGCTCCAAAAATGTTGGAATGCCCATTGCAATGTTGCTACATACTGATCGCCATCATGAGCGTCCTGGAGGTAAGAAAATGCATTTGGATGTCTGTGTGGCTTTATCTGCAATCTGAGTCAACATTGTAATAAGATTGGCGTGCTGCTCTTTGTAGGATTGGTGTTTCACCATTGTGGTTTTCCCTGAAGGATGTTTGATGTTTGAACTTTTGCCAGGATTTAAGCAATAAATTAAAGCTGTATTGTTTCCTCACCTTTTTAATCAAACAAAAAACTGCTGATGAATGTCCTGCTGAGGAAGAAAGAAAAAAATCTGGGAGTGTGAAGGAAAATCAGAGGGTGAGACTTTTGGCACTGGAAGACAGATCAGCACCTTATAAGGTTGCAGGAAGAAGGGATTGGATTTGGAAAGGTATTGCATGTTCAGATGAAGCAACAAGATGTGCTTAACATTTCAAAGTAAAGTGTTATTGCAGGTCAGAACAACACAAATGGGAACATAACTCACTCAAAGCTGCATACCAAAGAAAAATTAGGAGATCAAAACACTGCAGTTGTCCCTAAAGTCATCGCTAAAAGGACAAAACGTTCTTTATTCATCCACATCAAATTAGGTCAGGGGACTGAAATATGCTATACAATTTCTAAAAGTAAATGATTGAGACCCAGTCCATGTCTTTCCAAACTATGTCGTGTGGTACATATTGCAAATTGAGAACCATTTTTAAGTTTTTGAAATCAGTAAAAGAACACGCTATTTTGAAATTTGAGTCTTTTAAAAGCTCTTAATGGCTACTACTGACTTTGTAGCTGAAATTGGTTGCACTGTTAAAACATATGAGTTGTAATGAGTTGCTTGGAAACATCTATGCCAGGGTTTTAGTAATGCACTATGCAAAAACAAACTTAAAGGCAGGTATAACTTTATGGAAATGGTGTTTTACAGGATAATAAGAGTTATCTTTTGAAACTGTACATATTTGTTTAACTTTACCTTTTACCTTTAGAATCACTTGGAACTGCACCAATGCTTTTTGTTTATTTAGTTAAACATAAGCATAATCCTAATTAATTTCAGGCATGTTGTGCCATCCTTATGTAAAAAATCTTTTAGTTTTACATTATATTATTATTGTAAAGCCCATAACAGAAAACTGTATTGTGTATTCTATTGGTAGCTGCGTCATCTATTACCAAGTTTTGTCAGTTTATTAATCATCAGTGATTCCTGGATGATGGATGGTATAAATAGTTAATGAGAACTTATAATCTGTAAGAACTTGTTCTTACAGATACTTGGCAATCTTTAAGATTAAACTTGTGAACTGGTGCAGCCAGTTCCAGGTCTTCTGAGCCTTACACCCAGATCAAGATTAACACATATTTGTGAGGCACGTGACATGGACAGAAGAAATAGAAAGTTCTTGGTCATAAGACGATATTAAGGAGAGGCAAAGAGAGCAAACATCAATGTATCAATAACTACTCATATGTCATAAACTCCAGCTTCCTCCCATGGTTCAAAGACAATTGGTCAGTGGGGTTTGGTTAACTGGTGAATCTAAATTGCCCATAGGTGTGAATGTGAACGGTTGTCTGTCTCTACGAGTTACGCTTGTGTTTCTGTTTGGCAATCTGATCAATGAGTCTGGGTTTTGCGGTTGCGAGGAGAACGGTACTTGTCTGACTGCTTTGTGGTGTGTGATTGTTTTTCAGGAGTTGGGCTTGGCCACTGAGTTTCAGTGAAACGCTTTATCATTTTGTGGGAACAGTTTGGGGATGGCTCTTTCCTGTTCCAGCATAACTGCGCACCAGTGCACAAATCAAGGCCCAGAAAGACATAGATGAGCGAGTTCGATGTGGAAGAACTTGAATGGCCTTCAGAAAGTCCAGACCTCAACCCGATAGAAGACCTTTGGGCTGAATTAGAGCGGAGACCCCAAAGTTGTCCTTCAAAATCAGTGTCTAGAAGCATAAATGTGCAAAAATGTACATGCACATACCTTCAGGTAATGTCAGGAGTTTATAAATCATTTCAAAGAGTCAAAAAGAAGCGTGGAGAGGCTCAGAATCTAAGGTATTTGAGTTCCATTGGAACGTTTGCACAGTGTGGGATGACTTGAGTTTCCCTGTCTTACCTGAAACACAAAGAATCTTTTAAAGCATTGTCACAAGGAGGAAGAGACACATCCGGCGCAAAAAGAAACTGATAGTCTCCATATAATACCACACGGATGCCTTAAGTTGTGGTAAAACACTCCCAACCAAATATTGAGTGCATAAATGTACAGATTTTTCAGAGGTTGGACATTTTTGTATTGAAAATGTTTTTTTAATGATCTTATTTTAATGTTCTAACTATTCTGATAATGCCAGATACTGGATTTCTGATGTTGAAGAGCTATAAGCCATAGTCAATAAAATTATAACAAAAAAAGATTCATATATTTCACTTTCGAAGTAATGAATATCTGATAAATGAAAAAAAAAAAAAAAGAAATTTCTGAATCAAATTACAAGACTTGAGGTACCAGAACTTTTTCTGTAACTTTAAAAATGTATTTCTTACAATTTAAGTCAGATTTCTTTCAGCAGCTTTTTGTTTACCATGTAGAAATACAGTTAAATATGTAATTTCTTTACACTGTCAGAAAGGGAAGTTTCACTGGGGCGAAACACTGAAGATCAAAGTCGGCTATATGTGGCCCACGATGTAAGATGAGTTTTACGCTCCTCTTGTACTTGTTATTTCAGGTGTATGCATTTTATCAGAACGTGACACTAAGGTGGACTAACTAGTTCTTGAAAACTAAGTTTGCAAAGAATGGCAACTGAATGTGTGCTATGTAACTGGATATTAAACTGCAAATATACAATAAGGCTAAAAACAAACTTTCCTATTTTAAAAATCTTCAGTCCCCAGTAAGTGTTTTTTTTTTTTAATTCCAAAGGGAAGTTGAATAACCACATTGTTCATAGGTTTATTTCCCACAACACGAGTTGTACAGCTTCACACACATTTCTTCTGGTATGCGATATGCAGGTTTGATGTGCTGTGACTTGCCTTTTCTTCCCTCTCGTTCTTATCTTCGCAGACTACCTCCGTGGATTACAGCAACAATACTGGTCCTAATACAGTTATGACTTTGCAAGTTGCTCTGACACACCTAAACGGAGATTAAAGTTACTATCACGCATGCTGCATTTCCTCATTGTGTAATGTCTGACTTAGGGTGTCCTTCCCCCACCACTGTCTCATTTTTTTTGTAAAGCTGTAAGAGAACAACAGGTCTCACAGTAATGAAGCAGAAAGAAGAGAATATTTACACTTTAAATGTATAAAAACACTGCTTAGCAGAATCAATATTCTTCATTCCCACAGGAGAACCTTAATTGAATTAATTAATTGAAGGTTGGGTTTTGGGCACATTAACTGTTTGCTGATTATTAACATTAGCACTAATAACCCCAAAAATGCACCTCCTGTCAGTACCTGAAGAATGATAGACTGGGTAATAACTTGAAATATTCATATTGAGTAAAAGAAATCTTGCTTCTGGCACTTTGAGCATGTAGAAACACCAGCCTTAGAACAGTTTAAAGGAATGTCATTGACAGGATAACCTTCACTATCAGCTTTTTTAGAAGTTTTGAAAGATGTCCTTTCATGGTTAATTTGCCATGTTTTGGCTAAGTAAGTTTTTATACATATTTTTAAAACCCTGATGTGGCATTTTATTCATATACATTGAATGTAGCAGGTGATGTAGGTGATAGATATCTCCGAGACCAAGAAGTGTAAACCAAGAAGTGGTGGATTAACCACAACGTGTCCTTCTTCGTCTTAGGTGATGCCACAGTGACCATTACCCACAGATGTACTCCAAAGGAAAGGCTCAAAGAGCTAACCCGCCTGGCTGACATCATTATTGCAGCAGCAGGTAAACGTATCAGGGCAACAGTAAAACATATCTGTCAGTTTTTTCCACAACTAAAGAACTACCGAAGTGACATATGTCATACTGAACAAAACGTCTTTCAAATTAATGGAGTGACACGTGCAAACTGGTTCAGGCAGGCGGTTTGGGTTGTCCTGCATCTTGCATTCATGGCAACCCTCACGTTCGTCACGTAATTCGTCACCATTTACTTCATTCAATTTAAGCGGAAAAATTTCCAGTGTTACCCTGTGTTGTGTCACTGACACTGCTGCCATGCATCACTGGCTGTTATTTCAGCACCAGCGTCTAGCTGTAGGCTCCAGCGTAATGTTTATGAGCTGCTGCTGTAATAAATCAACAGTTTCTGGTGTGAGTTGTCATACTAACTGTATTAAGTATTGCAAAACGATTCATAGGAGTTAACATCACATCAACTGGCTGTATGGTTACAACCAACCATCACTGTCATAATTTGCTAATCTGCCAAGGCATTTCTCAGTCAAAGTTTTGTTTGAATAATGTCACTGTTTTTGAAAAATTGACATCAGTGATGTCATTTTTGTCCAAACAAGAGTCAAAACTAGGAACTTGGGATCACCTGATTTTCCTCAAACAATTAGTACATTTTCACTCATTATTCAAGTTGTGCTATTCGTTATTTTGCCCACTAAAAATTGTTCAGCGTGTACTGCAAATAAATGTATCTACAGTCATGTGAAAATTAAAGATTTATAGGATTTGCAATCATGTGAGAAACTAAGTACGCCCTTAGTGCTTCCACAGGAATTAGTACTAATCACTTGCTCATCATCAAGTGTGATCAGCTCTGTAAAAGCAGAATTGATGGGTGTAATAACAGTGCCGCAATCGTCACAGGAGTGCATGTCCCAGTAAATTCACCCCAAGTTCAGACCATGCACAAAAGAAACTGCAAAACACTACAGAGCTACACCTCAGACTCTGCAGGTCTCAGTTAGCATGTTATATGTCATTGTTGTACAATTAGAAAAAGACTGAACAAGCATGGTTTGTTTGGAAGGGTTGCCAGTAGGAAGGCTCTTCTCCCTGAAATGAACATGGCTGCACAGCTTAGGTTTGCAAATCTGAATCTGAACAAACCAAAAGGTTTCTGGAACAATGTCCTTTGGACAGATGAGACTAAACTGGAGATGTTTGGACATAATCCACAGCAGAAAATTAAAAGAAAACCTAATCAGCACAACACCTCGTATCAGGTAGAGGTCTGATGATTTTGGTTTGTTTTGCAGCACAATGACCGGGGCACATTATAGTCCTTGAGATGACCGTGAACTTTCTATACTAAAGTATTCTAGGGTGTATGAAACCATCTGGCTGACCGCTAAAGCTTTGCCCAAACTGGGTATTACAATAAGACAGTGATCCCAAGCACAGCAGCATATCTAAAACTGACTGAAAATGAAAATAATCAAGGTGTTGTGTATGAATGGTAGTTAGAAAGCACTTCAAAGCATAGAAGACATTGCCTTTATGAATGAGTGAATGTAGCTTGTTGTAAAGAGTGCTTTGAGTAATCAGGGAGAGTAGAAAAGTGCTATATAAGAATCAGTCCATTTATCAACTAAAGCAATGTTGTACATAAGAGTGGGACAAAATTCTGACACAACAATGTGAAAGACTGAGAGTCATTCAGAAATAATGACTTCAAGTTACTGCTACTGATTGTAGTTCTATGAGCTACTGAATCATGAGGTGTACTCACAGAACTGCAGAGAGTTCTATGAAAACTTTCCTTTTCACATACTGTACTTTGGCTGTTACTTACTATACCTAATCTGTAATAGGCTACTTGTTTGTATGCAGTCATTATTATACTGAACTAGGGTATCATTTGGTTTTGCTTTAGAGAAACTGGATTAACTCATTTAAAAAGAAGAGTTTAAAATATATTGAGAGCAAACATCCATATTTTGTGAATTTTCTTGTTAATCCTAGTTTTTTTGGATAGAAAACCCTACATTAAGAAAAGCAGTGCCAGTTATATGGCATTACTAAAGAGGTTCTACCCTCCGGTGTGCATTCCTTTCCGTCAGTTTCAGATTACTTTTCATGTGTTGGAACAGGTGTACGTGGATTTATGTTGGCTGATTATGCAAAAAGGAGGAGAGGTTGTGAAAAGTGCTCACCAGCCCTTACTTGAAGCGAGCTTCTTGGAATCAAAATAATAAAAGGCGACATTTCCGCCTGTTACTCTGCCCCATCTGTAGGCATTGATTAAAACTTTCTGGAAGAACAGTAGTGGTTTGTTTGTTTTTTGCGTGCTGGAATGTGCAGCCGTTAATCAATACAGGGCTGTAATATTAGATGAAAGATTCTTTATTAACGCAATGCAGCGATGGGTGCCATGTCTTACTCTGTTTGTCGTAAATGGGCTTTTTCCTGATGAGTCACACCTCAATTTCTTTTCATGCTGCAACTGTTTGGTTTAGATTTTGACGTACTAACTGCATATACATAATCTCTTTCAGCTGTCTTTGTGTCTTTTGGGAAACGGCACGTGTTTTGGTTGTGTTAAAAGCAAAATGTATGCTGAGGGATTAACTGGTTGTGTAATCTGTAGTAATTGCAGTTAATAGGCTTGGCATTTAGTTTTGTTATACCCTGTCATGGAAGTTTTATGCTGGCTTTATATGAGCAGTTCTAGTTTAGCTAGACAAACCTGTTATTTAATTGTTATCCAACTGAATTTGGGGCCCATTATTAATTAACAATAATAAATGTGTGAGGAGATCAAACTGATTCTTATCAAATATGATGTGAAGATTATTTGAATATTTGTGTTTTAATTCAGTTTTAATGTCCATGGTTAACCCGACAAAAGAACAATCAACTGTGATTCCAAAGATTTTTTTTAGATTTCATGAATAATTGATCTGTTATCAATTACAGTACTTCCCCTAACACAAGAATAGGATTTAAAAAAACAATTTAAAGCATTTAAAGAAAACGTTTCAAAGTAGTTCTCGTTTGTCACCATAACCTTGGTTTCTTTACGTAGGTGTTCCTGAGCTGATCACAGCAGACATGGTGAAAGAAGGTGCAGCAGTCATTGATGTGGGTATAAATCGCATCAAGGATCCAAACACAGGAAAACTTCGGCTCATTGGTGATGTGGACTTTGAGGGTAAATGAAAAAGAAGTTAACTGTGTCACAGTTTCTTCTATACTGCTGACATTCTGAAAACAATGTATACCTGTCTGTCGACTTTATTTTTCTTGGGAAACTGTCTCCAAGTCAATTGTTGTGGCATGTTGTAGGAGTGAAGGAGAGAGCAGGTTTCATCACACCTGTCCCCGGAGGGGTGGGTCCAATGACGGTCGCCATGCTGATGAAGAACACTGTGACTGCTGCCAGAAACGCACTGATGCATTAAACACACACCCACATACCTACACCTAGACACACACACGTGCACACACAGTATAGAGATATTTATTTTAACAAGGGCAGACATCATGCAAACATGCAGATATAGATGCATACATTTATATAGGCACCCGCACAGGCAGACCACCTGCCAAGCATCTAACACAGTTTTATTTGAACATCTGTGAACTCAAGACTCAATACCTGCTGGGAAATCTACTTGATATGTATTGCGTTTATAATATTTATTTATTCATTTATTTATTAAGTTATTTATTTCAGCTTTCACTTTTTAAGAATTTATATTAATATTTTTTCTACTGCTGTAAGTTTGGTTCATTTTGAGCATAATGAAATAAAAACATTTCAGTTCCAAAGTTTTTTTCTACTTACTTTTTTCATGATTTCCAAAAGTATTTTGTTGTGTGTTTGTTCTGCTTTTGAGTGTAGTGAGACAGTAAAGCTCAACCATGATTAAGGGTTATGCATCTTAAACATTAGGCTGCTGATTCCTGATCTAACAGCTTTTTATTTCCTTATCGCATCCTCTGCAATGCCTAAAATCCAAAAATAGGAAAGTTCTGAAAAATGAATGTAACCAGTGAAAAGATTCCCCAAAGACATTTCACCTTTTGATCATCATAATAATTAGATAATTAATCTCTAGATTTCTGTATCCATTTTCCTAATGCTGGCACTAGGTGCTCCACTGTCTTAAGGCTAGAGGCAGGCGATCTTGGACTACTTGTCAGTTTTGTCCCCTTCCTGATTTCTCATTTCTCATTTTTTTCTCTCTCCATATTTGTCACACTTACATGTATCAGATGTTAACACGGATTTTGATAATAGTCAAAGATAACTCATGTAAATAAAAATTACATTTTAAAATGATAACTTCATTTATTAAATAAGAAAAAAGCTATCTAAAGCTACCCGGCCCTGTGTAAACACATCTTCAGCTAATTCTGGACTCTATGGCGGATAATTTATATTTGAAAATGATATCTCAAACTCCCTGAGTCACTCTTAATAATTTGAGCTAGATGAAGCAGCATTGCCATCTAGAAATGTGCCTGTACTATAAAAGAAGAAAAGAAAATCTACTGATGGAAAAGCCTGGTGATTGAGTATGTTCAGGCAGCCGCCTGACCTCAATATTTGGGAACGTAATATAGGTAGCTGTGGGACAGTAAAATATAATGGTGGCTCCACACCAGTTTGCAATGCTGGACGCCCTGCCTTATGCAACCCCCAAAGGATTTGTGTTTTCTCCCCAAAATGAAGCGGTTGTTCGGTTGTCAGGTGAAAGTGTAAACCATATCACTTTGGAGCCACCTCCTTAAGGTGATAGTACAAAAAGCAAAAAAACAAACAAAAACAGTAAACACATAATTGAAGAGTTCGTCTAGAAATGCTTGGCCCCCTATCAAATTTTTTGATAAAACTTTTAATTACATCTAATTCTAATGTGCTGTAACCTGTCTCTATCTAATTCTCTCTTCACGTGTTAAGAGGCCAAAGAAAAATAAAGCTTCCATTGTGATCATGCCGATGAAAAAAAAAGAGAGGATTTCCCAACATCCGCTGTCAGTGAAGCAACTTTACTGGACTGTGAAACTAATTGAAAGTCACCCAGTCAGTGCTCTTAGGAAGTACTTGCCTCTGGGGATCTCGTGCCTCCCCCATAGGCTTTGTCTCTGCATGCCTATGAAGTAAATGACTTGATTCAAGTCGAGTTTCAAAAGGAAATACTTTTCATTTTTCAAAAGAAAAAAAGCCGTCAGTGCTTTGATTGGCTGTGAAAATCTGGATAAATAAGCTCAGCGCAGACCTGTTTGTCACACCTGTGCAGGCAGAAGGAGCTGAACACATCACATCACCAAAGGACAACATGGTCACACAAAGACAGACGTACCTGAAACGTAAGTTTCCAGTTTGTTCTGTGATAGAGCCATGAAGCAAAAAAAAAAAAAAAAAAAAAAAAAAAAAAAAAAAAAAAAAAAAAAAGAAAGAAAGAAAAGAAAAAAAAGAAAAGAAAAGAAAAAACCTTTTAAAATAAAACTTTCATAAAACTTAACCTAGGTATTTTTTATGTATAAATGATAATAGTAAAGGAAGAAACTTGTTAGGAAAAATGAAAAATGTTTTGCTACATAGAGTAAAAATAAATAATCTATATATTTAATATTTAATATATTTAATTAATTATTTATTAATATATTATTTTCTCTCTCTTTTTTTTTTACAGCGTTTCTGCCGGCAGTGACGGTGCTGGTGCTTTTGGCTGCAGCAGGACATTCTGCAGTGGTGAATGATAATCTCCAGACCAAAGCACCGCCTCTGTCAAACTCATCTCTGACCACTCAGTTTAGCAACAGTGAGTGTTTTAAGTTTGAGTTTGTGACGGTGAAGACACATGGCATTACAGTGCTTTATCCCTGACATATATGAAATCTACAGAGCCCCAAATGTCCCCAATGACGTCACGATATATGCTTGTTAAATTGTGCGCACAAGGTTTAAGGTCTTATAACTGAAGCTTATCTGCAGAAGACCGGTGTCAAATAATGCCGCCTGTTAATCAAGGAATTAATAATAAGAATGAATAATTAAAGTCATATATTTCTGTTAAATTTTGGTTTATGTTGATTGTTTTATTCTCCCTCTCTGCAGGTAGCATGGAGTTGCCTCAAGTCCTACCTTTACACAACCCATGTAGAAGCGAACATGCTTCTTATTGTGTAAACGGTGGCAAGTGCATGTATCCGCAAGACAGTGACAAACCTTCTTGCATGTAAGTTCTGCAGTATCAGACAGTATCCACAGTGGATTTAGTTAGTAATGATATGTATGAAATTCTTTTACGTGTTTGTTCATGTTCACTGGAATGCGCTCACATATTTTCTCCGATCTGCAGCTGCGAACCCTCGTACAGCGGGCCACGCTGCATGTTTGCGGAACCAATTCGTGGTGTTACTTTGCTTGATGTAGAGCAAGTCATTGGCATTATTTTCGGGGTGTTCATACTCATCATACTTCTGGCGATCACATTTTACTTCTTTGTCTACAAGAGGTGAGTATCCACAGGTTTTCGCGGTGTAATAAAGTATGCAGGAATAGTGGCAGTTCCATTTCTGATGTTGTTTTTGTGTTTCTGTTTTCAGGTGTACAGAATCGACGGTGCCAATAAAATATGCACCTGCTAAGACCTCGGTGTGAACTCTGCAGCTCACATTTGCTCATGCACCACCATCTTCAACATTTCCCCTTTCAAGAAAAGACAAACCACAGCATTTCATGAGAGTGAATCGTTTGCAAGTCTACAAAACAAATAATATGATGTATAAAAAGCAAAAAAAAAAAAAAAAGAGAGAAAAAAATTCTCTTTGACAACATTTAAACACTTGACTGTTACAAGAGGTTAATAACAAGGAAAGAGCAAGCTCTATCAAATCGAACGTTATTTTTTTAATGATTGTTTTATTTTCATGTAAAGAATAAGAATGAAAAAATGTATATATTTATTGTCAAATTATGTTAAGTAAATTATTATAAATTATTATTTTCTTGTATTTAAAGTTTATTTTTTAATTAATTACAAAAGATATTTGTGTTATTTGAATTTCACTTTTTGCTACAGCCTTTTTACAATAAATATATTTTTGGTTTGATAATTGTGCGTGCCAAACATTTGACAGGAGATACTCCATTACCATTTTGATAAGGTAAAGAAGAATTTTTAAAACTGCGTAATGCCTGTATGAGTTTCACTTATTAAGCTTTTGAAACGATAATGCTCACTGATCCCCAGACAAACTGTAAATGAGCCATTTATTAAGCCTAAAAAGGCTGCCCAAAGTCTAATTAAACAACAGGTTAACTTGTAACACGATGCTGTGAAAGGCTAAACATGCTTGAACGGCATATTTAGCCATGAAATATGATGATAAACTGGTCCCATTCTTAAACGGAGTAAATAAGCCCAAAGTACAGTAAAGGGCATAAGAAAAGTTCGGTAATTTTAATTAGCAGTGATTAATGCTGAGATTAATATACGAGAACAGGAAAAAGAAAATGAAGAATAAAACTATATTTGGACTGCATAGTTAATAAATGTTCAAACAGGCGACCTGGCCTGGACATCTGCCAAATCAGTGTACCACCTAACTCCTTTACTCCAGATAATATATTTGCAATATATTTATAATGCAGCCTTCACATATGTATCCAGTTATCTATGCCATGTACGCTATATAATAGCCCCATCCCTGTCATGTTACAGAACAATTTTCCACTCACGCAAATAAGCTTTTATCAGTTTGGACGTTTCATAGGGTGGCTTTCAACTACTTTTCAAATGATATGGGATTTTAATGGTTTGCAGACAGCTTTTTGTTTAGTTTATATTTTACTGTGTCCACACTTTTGTCGATAATGATACTTACAAACGCAGCAAGAGCCAGACTGCAGAAGAACAACATATTATAAGTGTTTTTTTCTGCTGCGATTTATCGATCTACATAAAAAAAAAATAGATGTATCTATAAAAAGTCACTTTGATTGGGGCATTTTTTTTTATTGTGCTGTTATTAGCTTTAGTCAGTTATCTGAAAATTTCTATTACAATCCGCCTTTTATTATCAGCAATAAAAACTCCTGTTTTGTGGAAACCGGTAAGGACAGACATTCTCGGGTCTGTCCTTTCATTGAAACCGCTGAGAGGTGAAATTATCTAAATTACATGAGTCTGACACCACACCCAAACCGCAGGAGTAAAAGCCCACTGGTTTCCTATTTTCAAAAGAAACGTCACCTGCACCTTTACCTGACAGTTATTACTCGTCCTGCTCGTCCTACCAGCGAACTATCGACTGAGATGGGGATCAGCAAACTGTCAGTGCTCCTGTCAATTATCGGTAAAGTGTGTGTGCTTTTCTTAATGTTGACGTCTTGAATATTATTTTCATTGTTTTATTATTGTTGTTTGAGTTTGACGCGTTGACGGTGAATGGCAGGTCTGTTCAGGTATGGACTGAATTTAAGTCATCTCAAGGAACGAGCGATGATCCCGTTTAAATAGACGAAAAGCTCTTTCAAAGTTAAACTTAGCATCTACTGGAACGGAATGTTGAACTAAAAAAATAACTAAATGCAGTTACTAATGGTTGTAGCCACGGGAACACTGTTTAACAGCGTCAATGAGTGACTCCATAGTGGAAGATTTCATTAAGGCTGATGTGGGCGTGTACCCATTTGGGTACGCAGTCTGACTTTATCTGTATGTATTTTTAATTTGTAGTAGGCTACAAGTAGAGTACTTGCACTTTAGCTGATGTAGTTTGATATAGAGGGTAGCTAATTTAGTTAAA